AGACAGACAGACAGACAGACAGACAGACAGACAGACAGAGACAGTCAGGCTTCTGTCAGCCATTTATTATCAGGTTAACACGTTAAACACACGTGTCGACGACATCCGTGTTTCTGAGTCAAACGGGGGATTTTAGGTTTTAAGAATTGCATAATCACACGACGAGTCTTGAGAGTCTTGACCTGATTTGAGGAGCCGGGTTCAACGGTCAGCCACTCTGCACACAAAGGGTTTATTTTAAACCAAAACCACCATCTTTTCCGAAACCTTTATTGCGCTTTAACCTACGGAGATTTCTGACTGAAAGCCCTAAAGCCAAACTTTCTTCCAGAGCTTCCATGTAGCTGAACTCTGACCTTACTCTTTATGAGGAAAAAGTGAAAATAAAACAATATTACCGAGGATTATTCCCCTCAGAGACGTCTAAACACCTTAAATAATCACATATGGGAAAATACAGTGTGAAATCAAATGTAGTCAATGTGTCACAGCTCGAGTGAGTCAAATAACTTAACCTGGTGAAGGAGTGGAAGAGAAAAAAGAGACAAACACAAAGAGTTCATTGTGTTCGTTTACGTTGGTTTGTTGACTATGGTTTTGAAGCCTCAAGTTTGGCATTTTGGCCGGCGCCATCTTGTTTTACTGGAACCAGAAGTGACACGAGAGGGTCGAGCTTAGTACTGAACGCTGAATAAGACATTTTTGTTCTTCCATGAAGTGAAAAACACACTTTGAAAGAGTTAAAGTTGAAAGACGAAAACATGGACAACACCGTGATAGGGACCTGTCAATCACCGTGTAGCCCCGCCCTAAAGTATACCCTGCTTTATGGTCTGTTTGACTCTAAATGGACCATACTTTACAAAATGAACATCATGCTGTAGTGAAGAAGACTTGAAACTAGAGATTGAGACCATAAACTCATGTTTACAATGTTTACTGAGGTAATAAATCAAGAGAGAAGTAGAGTCATTTTCTCATAGACTTCTATACAACCTTCTTTTTAAATGCAGCTTTGAGACACTTCAGCATCGGCTTCACTTTTCAGAAAGGTTGCCGCCTGACTTCAGCACTTTATTAGAACTGACCTGCAGTAATATCCTCAGAGTACAATCAGCTAGTTTTACTTTTACCAACTACATTACCTGGACTTGAAGCTGAGAGTGCTGCTGTACTTATTGACAACCAGAGTCACGCCTCCTTAAATGTAATCAGTTAGCAACAGTACGTTGCTGTTTGATGAACAAATCTCTCTCTCTCTCTCTCTCTCTCTGTCTCTCTCTCTCTCTCCCCCCTCTGTCCCTCTAATCTCTGGAGACAAGGGCCTTTTTGTGTAAAAAAGGGAAATCATAGGACTCACATGCTTCGGAAGGAGAGAAAGTGAGGGATCACAGCAGAGGAGAGGGTTGTTCAGAGGAGAAGAAGAAGTCAGAGAGGAGCAGAGACTGAAGGGATCGTCAGAACCAGACAGCTTTGAGCTCTACTGGACCGGACCGGATATCCTAAACATGGAGAACGGAAAAACAGAAACAGACGACAAGATGGAAGACGTGTCAGAAGGTAAAACAGGTGGCAAAAAACGTTTCACTCAAACTTGGAGAAAAATGTTTTCCTTCAGTAATCAATGGATTTAAAGAGTTAGTTTGATCCAATGACCCAACCAAGCTCACTGATCAAGGCAGCTTTAGATCCAGTGTTCTGTGAGGTTAAACTGTTTTTATCAATGGAGTCTGGTGTGTTTGAAGAGATCATAGATAACAGAATCAGTTCGTCATCAGAAAGGTCTGTCTGACAGCGAGGTAAAGAGGTGAAAACATTCTAAATACAACGTTCACTTTCACTGACATAGATTCTTTTAGGAGTCTAAATACGTCCACAGCAGAACTCGTTTTGCTCCTTTACTCTTTAAAACACTACAACCTCAAACAACCACACTTAAAACATCACAACTGTCCCTTTAATACATTCAATGACAATACATCACCTGCTTGTTCACAAGCCTTTCTGTACTGTGAAGTCGTTACACATCTCTCTTTGATTTTATTTATTCTTTATTTATTTATATTTTATTTATATATTCATGGTTCTTTGTGGTTATCTTGCATCTCTTTGTAGTTGTTTTGTGTCTCTTTGTACTCGTTTTGTGTCTCT